TTCTAGAGTGTGTCGGTGCCACGTCTGAGCTCGGGGGATTTCGCAGTAAAACAAACGTCTCCTCGGGTCCAGACCTTGTACTTGTCGGAGCCGGAGATGCGCCGGACGAAGGGCTCCCACTCGGCCGGGTCCACCAAGCCTCCGATGGGCTGGTCAGAGAAGGAGGCGTGGGCCAGCAGCTCGTCTCTGTCGCTGAGCAAAGACACGGCCAGATTCGACTTCTCCCTGAGGAGCACAGGACCACAGAACACACGGGCTGGATTACTCTAAACACAAGGCCACATGGTCATATAAAAGAAAGTATTATGTACGTACTATAAAAGGACAAATTCTATTGGACAAAAGTTTATTTTGGTTGAATACATTTCACAGACATTGGTGGACATTTCCTTATAACTGCTGAGCTAACTACACTGAAACTCCTCTGAAACTAACTCACACACTTGTTTACAGTTTCTGTTGGCCAGCACAAGACAAAAAAGCTGGGCCAAAATTTAAGATCTAAACATTTAAATCTATCAGACAATAACTTAAATGATGTGTCCATGCAGCAAGATCATTTTACTTGAGACGTTTTCTTACAATAAACAAACTCTAGATGAGAATGAAGCATCTGTGGTCTAGTAAGTCGATAATAAATTTTAAAACAAGATGAAGAACCTGATATAATTTCTAAAATTGCAGTGTAAGTGTGTGTGTTAGTTTCAGAGGAGTTTCAGTGTAGTTAGCTCCTCCCTCCAGGTAGTTAAAAGGAAGTGTCCCCCAGAGTCTGAACACAACTGAAGAAGCAACTTAACGAGCTGAGAAATGTTTTCAACCAAAATAAACTTTTGTGCAACTGAATTTTCCCTTTTTGCTGTTATAACTTGATTTAGACCCGGTTTAGACCTGGTTTAGACCTGGACCACTGAGGGATTACTGTTGTGTTCTGTTGCATTCTGTTGTGTTTTGTTGCGTTCTGTTGTGTTCCTGTTGTGTTCTCTTGTGTTCTCTTGTGTTCTCTTGTGTTCTCTTGCGTTCTCTTGTGTTCTCTTGTGTTCTCTTGTGTTCTCCTGTGTTCCGTTGTATCAGAGACTCACAGCAGGTGGAGAACGTTGACTCGTCCAAACACTGAGGCTCGGTTCTGCTGCAGCAGAGAGTTTATGTTCTCAGCGTCGGACGACTCGCTCCGACGAACCCACACGGTCTGCAGCTCCCCCCGAGACGAGCTCAACACACGCATCTGTGAGGAACACACGAGGAACACACAGAAATGAGAAAAACGACATTATTAAGATCAGTTTCTTTAAAACGTTACTCAAGTAAATATGACTGACTCACATCTACATTTATTTACAGTCTTATAAAGTGTAATTGTTTCGTGAGTTAATAAAAATAAATCAAATTTGATGAATGGACTGTTAAAAGAAAATGAGTCTATGTATGTAGTTATTTTATTATAAACGTTTATTAATATCGATATTATAATTATTTTCTCAATAATTCAAATACAATTTAAAAAAACGTTGGTTATTTAACATTTAAGTACCTATAACAGGGTAAGTCACTCATTTGACTAAAACACAGTTAAGTTCATTATATTATCTTAAAGATTTATTAAGATTTTAAAAAAATTCAACGTATTTCTGCTTCTTGATTGGTATAAAATATATTTACAACATGTATTATTACCAGATGAATCATAAATTCGGTCACACGCATTTTTATCTTCAGAAAAAAAAAAAAATAAATAAAATCGCTAAAAAAAACCAAAAAAAAAAAAAACAACTAAAGTTCGCTAACGTTATAAAATAATAACCCGATAATCCTCACCTTTGCACGTGGACAGGGCGCACTTCCGCAGTAAAAACAAACCAGGGCGCGTAAAAAAAACTTGACTTTTCTGTTTTATTTACACTTTTATCCTCAAAAGTCGCGTTTAATCCTGAAGTTTGTAGTTTTGTTGTAGTTTTTTTTTCCCTGTCAGTTTGTCTCTGTCTGCGGCCGTCACCATGGAGACTACGCCGCGCTCTGATTGGCTGAGACGGGCCGCGCGTAGTTATATAGAACAGTAGATCTCGCATGGACGACCGCTGTCCATTGAAACGAACGCGTCAACAAAGCCGCCATCTTTGTACTGGAGAAACGCTGCTTTAAATGAATGAACATCAAAGTCCAAGATTAGTCCTGGTTTAGTTCTGGTTTAGTCCTGTTATAGTCCTGGTTTAGTTCTGGTTTAGTCCTGTTATAGACCTGGTTTAGCTCTGGTTTAGTCCTCCTGTTAGTCCTTTAGTCCTGTTTAGTTAGTCCTGTTTAGTCCTGGTTTAGTCCTGGTTTAGTCCTGGTTTAGTCCTGTTATAGTCCTGGTCTAGTCCTGTTATAGTTCTGGTTTAGTCCTGTTATAGTCCTGGTTTAGTCCTGTTATAGTCCTGGTCTAGTCCTGTTATAGTTCTGGTTTAGTCCTGTTATAGTCCTGGTTTAGTCCTGTTTAGTCCCGGTTTAATCCTTTAGTCTTGGTTTAGACCTGTTATAGTCCTGGTTTAGTTCTGGTTTAGTCCTGTTATAGTCCTGGTTTAGTCCTGTTATAGTCCTGGTTTAGTTCTGGTTTAGTCCTGTTATAGTCCTGGTTTAGTCCTGTTATAGTCCTGGTTTAGTCCTGTTATAGTTCTGGTTTAGTCCTGTTATAGTCCTGGTTTAGTCCTGGTTCAGTCCCGGTTTAGTCCTGGTTTAGTCCTGTTATAGTCCTGGTTTAGTCCTGTTATAGTCCTGGTTTAGACCTGTTATAGTCCTGGTTTAGTTCTGGTTTAGTCCTGCACGCGACATCTACAGTTCTATATCCCTTCGGGACGCGGTGCATTGTGGGAGTGTCATGGCGGCGCGGATGTGACCGAAACGTTTGCGCTCCGGACGTTTCACCTTTTTATCTCACTTTTTCTCGAGTAAAAATCCGGTTTGAGGAGTTTGGAGGCGGCGCAGCGGCAGAATGGCGTCCACCGCGGCGGGGAAACAGCGCATCCCGAAAGTGGCGAAGGTAAAAAATACAAAAAACAAAACACCAGAACCACGAGCTAACTGTGGCTAATGCTAACAACAGCAGAAGTTCCAAACGGAGCCACGTGTTTATCTTTTTAAAATCTGTCTTTATGTCGCAACCATCGCGATTACAACGATTACCCGCGCACAAAAACGTACTAATGATGAATATATCTCCAAACTGTAAATGAATAAGTAGAATAATTTAAAGTAAAGCTAAAAGAGCTGCATACAAGCTCCGTAAAACTGCGCCAAATCCCCATTCATTTCTTCATCAAATGGGAAAAATACTGGGAATAGTACTGGGAATTGTACTGGGAATATTATTGGTAATAGTACTGGGAATTAGATGTGTGTATCGGGGTGTGTATCGGAATATCGATATATCGTATCGTTTTATATCATGATACAGTATCGATACCGTTCGCTGCAGTATCGATATATCACCAAGAGTATTTTTACGTGTGTTTTACTAAATTATTTTGTTACAGCTACAGTTTTGTTGTTTGTTTAGTGAAAGTAAACTCGTTTATGCGACACATTTTACATTTTTACTGTTTTGAGGATTAAAATGTTTGTGTTTCATATGAACTTTTCACAAGAAGTGGTTTAACAAAGACTTTTAGTATCACAGACATGATTTAACTTTTATTTTATATTGAACCGTATTGAATAGATTTGAAATATATCATATAGAATCGAAAGTGCACTGTATCGAGATATGTATCGTATCATGGCTTGTGTATGGAGGCATGTATCGTATTGGCAACTTCTTAATGATACCCAGCCCTAGTATTGGAAATGGTACTGGGAATTTTACTTGGAATTATATTGGAAATAGTATATTTATACAAAACCACTGATTTGTCCCAGTTTTATACAAGAAATGTCCCAGTGTCTCTATTTTTGACCAATCTGATCCTGTAACAGTAAAATGAGACATAAACTGACATTTGTTTGAGTAAAATGCAGAAAAGCTGCTTAAAAACGACCAAAACACAAAGAAGATGTGACTAAACTAAACTGACTCACATTTGTGCCGAGTGTCGAACAGTTTTCCTTTATCACACACTCGTTTCACAATTTTATTATTACCAACCACCAAAAAAAACAGGGGTGTCCCACTTTTTTTTTTATTCTGGAAATCTGGCCACTGTAACTCTTCTTAATTTCATCTTTATTTAATTAGAGTGTCCACATGTCCCAGTTTACAGGGGACAGTCCCAGTTTTGAGTCTGTGTCCCCCTGTCCCAGCAGATTTGTACAAAAACACTGATTTGTCCCAGTTTTATACAAGAAATGTCCCATGTGTCTCCCATGTGTTTTTGGACCAATCTGATCTAAACCAGGACTAAATTTAAGACTAAAACTGGATTATTGCATTTTTTTGTATAATCTGATCCTCGCCAACAGTCAAAAGGAGCGTAAATTGTCATTAGTTTTGCCAAAATGCAGAAATCCGTGTTTGCAAATGACCTTAAATAAAAAAATTAAATTAAATTAAAATGGCAAGGCAAGTTTATTTGTAAAGCACAATTCGTACAAAGTGATTTACAGAATAAGATATATATTATAAACACAAGACAAACAAATCAACAAATCGGTCGCTGTGTCGGACCGTTGTGGTGAAAAGGAGCTGAGGCTGGATTTACTCCCCTCACCTCTGGTCATCATGAGCTCTGGGTCATGACCAAGAGGACGATGCACAATGTTACACACTCTTTTCACTATTTTATTTATGCACATTAAACATCACATTAAACAGTATGATATATTGGTATTTCAGTGTTTGTCCACACCCCTGCTAACTATCGGTTCATTCTTTTATTTATTTGTTGCAGCTCTTGGTTTTTAACGACACTGTGGGTTTAAAAATGGTTTATCACAGCGTTTCCTCGTCTTTTCCATAGAGAAGAATAAAAGCGACTCTTGTTCCTGGTCCTGACGTGTGGTTTTGTTGTCGTTTTCGTTTGATTCCAGGTGAAGAACAAAGCTCCGGCCGAGGTTCAGATCACGGCCGAGCAGCTCCTGAGAGAAGCCAAAGAGCGAGAACTCGAGCTGCTGCCTCCGCCTCCAAAACAGAAGATCACCGACAAAGAAGAGCTCAACGACTACAAGCTCAAGAAGAGGAAGGTAAAGAGCCGCCGCACCGCCACACAAACGCACCCAGAATCACTCTCTACCGCATAAAAAATATATATAAATATAATAATAATATTTTCAACGTTTTAATGGTTTGCAGTGCTCCAAAGTTATTCTTTACTTTTCTAACTGCTTTTTAACCCTCACGCTCTCCTCGGGATCACATTGACCTGAATATATTTTTTTTTCCTTCCCGCTCTCTTGGGGCTGATCAATCAGACCCAAAAAATTAAGAAGAATTTATTTGAAAATAAATTTTTGGGGCTGATTGACCCGCCCCAAGAGAGTGGGAAGGAAAAAAAAAATCTTCAGGTCAATGTGACCCCGAGGAGAGCGTGAGGGTTTTAAGTGTCCTGATTAATCACTGTGACAAGTTTAGACTGGGTTTATTAGAGCTTTTCACAACTTCCTGAGATCAGAGTGTTTTTTTTTTTTTTTGTGCACATAAAGCAGATGTCAGAAAAAAACTAAACAATTAGTAGAAATGTCATGTGACCATTTCCCCTTTAAGATCATTTGGAATTACAGAATTGTATAATTTTACTCCATGCATGGACTAAATCTGCATTCATTTTATTTTAGATGTGTGTTTTTTTGTTTTTTTACATTTTTATTTGGCAGCTTCACTTTTTCGTAGTTTAGTCAGAACATAAACTCTTCCCAGTCTGAGCAGCTCCTCAAAACGCTGAGAGTTTCTGCTTTTTATGAAGAAATACAATGAATATTCTGCAGAACTGAGATAAACATTTTGACCCTTCACAATGTTTTCTGTTTGTCATGTAAAAAAAAAAAAAAAAAAAATTGTAGTAGGGAGTATTATCTTTTACATTAGAGTGAGTTGGTGCGCAGTTGTAGGGAGTATTATCTGTTACATAAGGGTGAGTTGTACAGTTGTAGGGAGTATTATCTGTTACATAAGGGTGAATTGAGTTGTACAGTTGTAGGGAGTATTATCTGTTACATAAGAGCGAGTTGTTGCGCAGGTGTAGGGAGTATTATCTGTTACATAAGGGTGAGTTGTTGTGCAATTGTAGGGAGTATTATCTGTTACATAAGGGTGAGTTGTTGTGCAGTTGTAGGGAGTATTATCTGTTACATAAGGGTGAAGAGTTGTACAGTTGTAGGGAGTATTATCTGTTACATAAGGCGAGTTTGTACAGTTGTAGGGAGTATTATCTGTTACATAAGGGTGAGTTGTTGTGCAATTGTAGGGAGTATTATCTGTTACATAAGGGTGAATTGTTGTACAGTTGTAGGGAGTATTATCTGTTACATACATAGAGTTGTACAGTTGTAGGAGTATTATCTGTTACATTTTGAAGTACAGTTGTAGGGAGTATTATCTGTTACATAAGAATGAGATTTTGTACAGTTGTAGGGAGTATTATCTGTTACATAAAGCCGAGCTGTACAGTTGTAGGGAGTATTATATTACATAAAGGTGAATTGTTGTACAGTTGTAGGGAGTATTATATTGCATAAAGGTGAGTTTTTGTACAGTTGTAGGGAGTATTATGTGTTCTTGCCCACCCCCAACTGTAGATTTTGAGTATTTTGGTTGAATATGTCGCCTAAATCCTTCTTTATGTGATATAAAATAATTCCCCGTGTTTTTGTTTTTGTTGTTGTTGTTTTTCAGGGTTTTGAGGACAACATCCGTAAGAACCGCACAGTGATCAGCAACTGGATCAAATACGCACAATGGGAGGAGAGTCTGCAGGAGGTCCAGAGGTACCGAGGCTTATTCTCAACAGCTGAAGTTTTAGTAGATCGTCAAAAATCTACAAAAAGAGCTTGTAATGTAATGTAATTTCATGTCAGTTTAAAGTGCGTAGGATTTTTTTTTTTCTTTCCTAATCGTTTTACACCAATCACGAGGCAATTTGTGGAGAAAAATTGAAAAACATATTGAAAATAATGGGTTCTATCTCGATCACACTGCGAGATTTCTGTCCAAAACTTCAGCGCAATTTCCACAAACACATTTTTTAACACGATTTCAACAAAGTAAACTTGATTTGTTATGTTTTTATTTGTCAAATAATAATTCCTGTGCACATTAGAGGAGTTATTACACGTTTTCTAGACGATTTCCCCAGTGCGATGTCATTATGTCCAACCGGGAAGTCAAATTTTAAACCAAGAACATGCCCATTTTGACATTTTTAAAGCAAAATTTAAAGATCTGAACAGTGTTTTAGTAGAATGAGTGAACTAACTTGTCAAATGCTCTTTTAAACTAAGAGTTCACGCTGCCTCAGTTTTTATTTTAGGCCTGAGAATCTTGTAATCAGTCAGATCAGGTTCCGTAGTGGCAGATTTTTCCGTGTTTTTTTTTTTCCCGTGTGTGATTTTTCCCGTGTGTGTGTGTGATTCCCAGGGCCCGTTCCATCTACGAGCGCGCCCTGGACGTGGACCACAGGAACATCGCCTGTGCGAGATGGAGCTGAAAGTCGCCAACACCGAACATCGAAACCCGCGCCATCTGCCCCGAGTACCAGCACGAAACCACTGAAACACACCAAGAACGAAACACACACGCACACCGAACACACGCGACACAAGCACACACGAAGCACACGCACACCGACAACCATCAAACAACACGGAACACACGAAAGCACACACAAGCACACAACGACCGAAACACACACGCAGCACACCACGACAACCACACACGAAACACAACGAACACACACGAAGCACACACACAACACAAGCACACACAAAAGCACACACGAAGCACCACGAAACACCACGAAACACAACGCAACACAACACGCACACAAACACACGCACGCACACGCACGCAACACACACACAGAACGACACACGAAGCACACACGAAACACACACGAAACACACACGCAACACACACGCAACACACACGCAACACACACGAAGCACACACGAAACACACACGCAGCACACACACACACGAAACACACACGCAACACACACGCAACACACACGCAACACACACACACGAAACACACACGAAACACACACAGTAGACACACAATACACACACAATAAAACGCTACAGGATCATTTGCTTTAGGACCCGACATCTCTCCGTCTTTGGGTCCTTGTGTGTGTTTTTAATCGACTGCTCTCCTTGCGTGTGGTGCCGGAGCTAAAATCCAAAATCGTACTATTTTCTCCACAAAACCTGGCCAGTCCGGTTTGAAGTGTTTTTCAAAAATTAAAAATTGCACACTTTTACTTGCACATAGTCTCTGATGGTTTTGAAGAGCAAGAGAGCATTTTCACTCAGACAGGAAACAGCTGAAGTGTTCACAGCTTTAGTGTATGTTCAGACTGCGGCATCAAAGTGTCCATTTTACATGAGCTTCTGGTGTCGGCCGCGCCGCGTCAGCCAATCAGGGACGACTATCCGGATACGTAGCGACGTTATTACCTGGAAGATGGAGAAGAAAGAGAAAAACCTGAGAACCACCAACACCAGAACCAGAAGAAACTCTACACTGTGGCATTAAAGGAATATAAATACATACACACCACATCCACCAATCTGATCGCCAGGACTGGGACATGACTGGGACATGAACTGAGACATGACTGGGACATGACTGAGACAGACTGGAGACAATGGACTGACGACGACTGAGACATGACTGGAGACAGGACTGGGACAGACTGAGACATGGACTGAGACATGACTGGACATGACTGGGACATGACTGGGACATGACTGGGACATGACTGGGACAGGACTGGAGACATGACTGACGGACATGACAGGACTGGGACAGGACTGGGACAGGACTGGGACAGGACTGGGACAGGACTGGGACAGGACTGGGACAGGACAGGACTGGGACAGTGTCATTATTGGAGTATAAATATATTCACACCACAGCTGTCGAGCCGATCTTCTCTTCTGGTGGTTTTATGTCATAAAAACACTCAAGTCTCTCTCAGTCTGGTCCATCATTCTGGGAAAAGACCTGGAAAATGGCACTTGTTTCCAGGGCACGACAAATACTTTTCTCCCATTTAAAGTATTTAAAGTACTTGTACTTTTGTAGGAACAAGACGGCTACATGTACATGAAGGAGATAAACATTAGTATTTATTTCAAGTATTTATGTATTCTCAGGTACAAGTACACGTACATGGAGGAGATGGACTGTAGTTGTAGTATTTGAAGTACTTGTGTGTATTATTCCAGGTACAAGTACACGTACATGGAGGAGATGGACTGTAGTTGTAGTATTTGAAGTACTTGTGTGTATTATTCCAGGTACAAGTACACGTACATGGAGGAGATGGTGGGGAACGTGGCGGGCTGCAGGCAGGTGTTCGAGCGCTGGATGCAGTGGGAGCCGGAGGAACAGGCCTGGCACTCGTACATCAACTTTGAACTGCGATACAAAGAAGTGGACAAAGCACGAAGCATCTACGAACGATATATCCGGTTTAAAACATCTGGAATCGGTTTAGAAACGTCTGGAATCGGTTTAGAAACGTCTCTGGAAATCGCGTTTAGACACGTTTGGAAGGTCTAGAAACGTTTTGAGAAACGTTTGGATCGGTTTGAATCGTTGGAATCGGTTTAGAAACGTCTGGAATCGGTTTAGAAACGTCTGGAATCGGTTTAGAAACCGAATCGGTTAGAATTGAAGTCTAGAAACGTTTGGAATCGGTTTAGAAACGTTTGGAATGGTTTAGAAACGTTTGGAATCGGTTTAGAAACATTTAGAATTGGTTTAGAAACGTTTGGAATTGGTTTAGAAACGTTTGGAATTGGTTTAGAAACGTTTGGAATCGGTTTAGAAACGTCTGGAATCGGTTTAGAAACGTTTGGAATCGGTTTAGAAACGTTTGGAATTGGTTTAGAAACGTTTGGAATCGGTTTAGAAACGTTTGGAATTGGTTTAGAAACGTTTGGAATCGGTTTAGAAACGTTGGAATCGGTTAGAACGTTTGAAATGGTTTTAGAATGGAACGTCTTAAGGTGGAATCAGTTGTAGGGAGTATTATATGTACAGTTGTCTGGTGTAAACTCCCTGACTCGTGCGCACTCGTGATGGTGCACCCCGAGGTGAAGAACTGGGTGAAGTTCGCTCGGTTTGAGGAGCGTCACGGATACATCGCCCACAGCAGGCGAGTTTACGAACGCGCCGTCGAGTTCTTCGGGGAGGATTATGTCGACGAGAACCTGTACGTGGCCTTCGCTCGCTTCGAGGAGACGCAGAAGGAGGTGAGGCTCTGGACCTGGACTGGACCCGGACTGGACCAGGATTGAACCAGGACTAGACTTGAACCGAACCGGGGCTAGACCAGGGCTAAACCAGGACTAGACTCGGACTGAACCAGGACTGGACTTGGGCTACATCCAAGACTAGATTAGGGCTAAACTTGGACTGAACCAGGACTGAACCAGGACTAGACCAGGGCTAGAGCAGGACTGAACCAGAGTAAGATTAGGACCGAACCAGGACCGAACCACGACTAGACTAGGACGGAACCAGGACCAGGCTAGGACTAAACCAGCACCGAACCAGGACCGAACCAGGTCTAAACCACATCTAAACCAGGTAAACCTAGACTAGGACTGAACCAGGACCAGACTAGGACCGAAACCAGGACCCGAACCAGACCGACCTAAACCAGGACCTAAACCAGGACCGAACCAGGTCTAAACCAGGTCTAAACCAGGACTAAACCAGGACTAAACCAGGTCTAAACCAGGTCTAAACCAGGTCTAAACCAGGACTAAACCAGGACTAAACCAGGTCTAAACTAAACCATTTCCACAGTTCTAACCCAAAAGAGAAAAATTAATTTTGACTCTAATAAAAACTAAAAAGACTGTGGATCTGTAGAAATCTAAAAACACTGGGATGTGACGTTTTGTGACGGTTGTGAAGAGTAAAACCGTAGAATTGTGACGCTGACTCGTGTTTGTGCGTTTTGTGTGTTTTCATTTTGTGCGTTGTGTGTTTCAGTTCGAGCGCGTGCGTGTGATTTATAAATACGCTCTGGACAGAATCCCCAAGAGTCAGGCCCAGGAACTGTTCAAAAACTACACCGTGTTCGAGAAGAAGTTTGGAGACCGACGAGGCATCGAGGACGTGATCGTCAACAAGAGGAGGTTCCAGTACGAGGAGGAAGTCAAGGTACGGACGAAGACGAGGAGGAGAGGGATGTCACAGTTTGATTTGTCGTTCTGTTTCCAACACAGTTTCAGTTGTGTTTGTCGTTGTGTTTGTCGTTGTGTTTGTCGTGTTTGTCGTTGTGTTTGTCGTTGTGTTTGAGTTGTGTTTGTCGTTGTGTTTGTCGTTGTGTTTCGAGTTGTGTTTGTCGTGTGTTTGTGTTTGTGTTTGTCGTTGTGTTTGTCGTTGTGTTTGTCGTTGTGTTTGTTTGTGTCGTTGTGTTTTGTGTTTGTCGTTGTGTTTGTCGTTGTATTTGTCGTTTTGTGTTTGTTCGTTGTGTTTGAGTTGTGTTTGAGTTTGTGTTGTCGTTGTGTTTGTGTTTGTTGTGTTGTGTTTGTCGTTGTGTTTGAGTTGTGTTTGAGTTGTGTTTGTCGTTGTGTTTGTTGTTTTGTTTTCGTTGTGTGTTTGTCGTTGTGTTTGTCGTTGTGTTTGAGTTTGGTGAGTTGTGTTTGTCGTTGTGTTTGTCGTGTTTGTCGTTGTGTTTGTTGTGTTTTGTTTGTGTTTGAGTTGTGTTTGTTTTCGTTGTGTTTGAGTTGTGTTTGTCGTTGTGTTTGTCGTTGTGTTTGTCGTTGTGTTTGTCGTTGTGTTTGTCGTTGTGTTTGTCGTTTGTTGTTGTGTTTGTCGTGTGTTGTCGTTTTTGTGTTGTCGTTGTGTTTGTCGTTGTGTTTGTCGTTGTGTTTGTCGTTGTGTTTGTCGTTGTGTTTGTCGTTGTGTTTCAGTTGTGTTTGTCGTTGTGTTTGTCGTTGTGTTTGTCGTTGTGTTTGAGTTGTGTTTGTCGTTGTGTTTGTCGTTGTGTTTGTGTTGTGTTTGTTTGTCGTTGTGTTTTTGTTTGTCGTTGTGTTTGTCGTTGTGTTTGTTGTGTTTGTCGTTGTGTTTGTCGTTGTGTTTGTCGTTGTGTTTGTGTTGTGTTTGTCGTGTGTTTGTCGTGTTTGAGTTGTGTTTGTCGTTGTGTTTGTCGTTGTGTTTGTCGTTGTGTTTGTCGTTGTGTTTGTCGTTGTGTTTGTCGTTGTGTTTGTCGTTTGTTTTGTCGTTGTGTTTGTCGTTGTGTTTGTCGTTGTGTTTGTCGTTGTGTTTGTCGTTGTGTTTCAGTTGTGTTTGTTGTCGTTGTGTTTGTCTGTGTTTGTGTGTTTGTCGTTGTGTTTGTCGTTGTGTTTGTCGTTGTGTTCGTTAGTGTTTGTCGTTGTGTTTCAGTGTGTTTTGTCGTTGTGTTTGTCAGTTGTGTTTGTCGTTGTGTTTGTCGTGTTGTGTTGTGTTGTCGTTGTGTTTGTCGTTGTGTTTGTCGTTGTGTTTTGTCGTTGTGTTTGTCGTTGTGTTTGTGTTGTTGTGTTTGTCGTGTGTTGTCGTTTGTCGTTGTGTTGTCGTTGTGTTTGTCGTTGTGTTTCAGTTGTGTTTGTCGTTGTGTTTGTCGTTGTGTTTGTCGTTGTGTTTGTCGTTGTTGTGTTTGTCGTTGTGTTTGTCGTTGTGTTTGTCGTTGTGTTTGCGTTGTGTTTGTCGTTGTGTTTGTCGTTGTGTTTGTCGTTGTGTTTGTCGTTGTGTTTGAGTTGTGTTTGTTTGTGTTTGTCGTTGTGTTTGAGTTGTGTTTGTCGTTGTGTTTGTCGTTGTGTTTGTCGTTTGTTTGTGTTTGTCGTTGTTTGTTTGTCGTTGTCGTGTGTTTGTCGTTGTGTTTGCGTTGTGTTTGAGTTGTGTTGTCGTTGTGTTTGTCGTTGTGTTTGTCGTTGTGTTGTCGTTGTGTTTGTCGTTTGTCGTTGTGTTTGAGTTGTGTTTGTCGTGTGTTTTGTCGTTGTGTTGTGTTGTCGTTGTGTTTGAGTTTGTTGTGTGTTTGTCGTGTGTTGTCGTTGTGTTTGTCGTTGTGTTTGTCGTTGTGTTGTGTGTTTGTCGTTGTGTTTGAGTTGTGTTTGTCGTGTGTTTGTTTGTCGTTTGTCGTTGTTTGTCGTTGTGTTTGTCGTTGTGTTTTGTCGTTGTGTTTGTCGTTGTGTTTTGTCGTTGTGTTGTCGTTGTGTTTTGTCGTTGTGTTTGTCGTTGTTTGTCGTTGTGTTTGTCGTTTGTTGTTTCGTTGTGTTTCAGTTGTGTTTGTCGTTGTGTTTGTCAGTTGTGTTTGTCGTTGTGTTTCAGTAGTGTTTGTCGTTGTGTTTGTCGTTGTGTTTGTGTTGTGTTTGTCGTGTGTTTGTCGTTGTGTTTCGTTTGTGTTTGTGTGTTTGTCGTTGTGTTTGAGTTGTTTGTCGTTGTGTTTGTCGTTGTGTTTGTCGTTGTGTTTGTCGTTGTGTTGTGTTGTGTTTGGTGTTTGTCGTTGTGTTTGTGTTGTGTTTCAGTTGTGTTTGTCGTTGTGTTTGAGTTGTGTTTGTCATTGTTTCAGTTGTGTTTGTCGTTGTGTGTTGTTGTGTTGTGTGTTTGTTGTGTTGTCGTTGTTTTTAGTTTGTGTTTTTGTGTTTGTCGTTGTGTTGTCGTTGTGTTTGTCGTTTGTGTTTGGTCGTTGTGTTTGTTGTGTTTGTCGTTGTGTTTGTCGTGTGTTTGTCGTGTTGGTGTTTGTCGTGTGTTTGTTTGTGTGTGTGTTGTCGTTGTGTTTCGTTGTGTTTCGTTGTGTTTGTCGTTGGTTGTGTTGTCGTTGTGTTTGTCGTTGTGTTTGAGTTGTGTTTTGTCGTTGTGTTTGTCGTGTGTTTGTTTGTCGTTGTGTTTGTCGTTGTGTTTGTCGTTTTGTGTTTGTCGTGTGTTGTGTGTTGTGTTTGTCGTTGTGTTTGTCGTTTGTCGTTGTGTTTGTCGTTGTGTTTTGTGTTTGTCGTTGTGTTTGTCGTTTGTCGTTTGTTTGTCGTTGTGTTTGTGTTGTGTTTGAGTTGTGTGTTGTCGTTGTCGTTTGTTGTGTTTGTCGTTGTGTTTGTCGTGTGTTTTTTTAGTTGTGTTTGTCGTTGTGTTTGTCGTTTGTTTGTTTGTTTGTGTTTGTGTTTGTCGTTTGTGTTTGTCGTTGTTGTTTGCCGTTTGTTTGCCTTTGTGTTGTGTTTGTCGTTGTGTTTGTCGTTGTGTTTGTCGTTGTGTTTGCCGTTGTGTTTGCCGTTGTGTTTCAGTGGTGTGATCCTCGTTGTTTCCCATGATGCTTTGCAGGTGAACCCTCATAACTACGACGCCTGGTTCGATTACCTGCGTCTGCTGGAGAGCGACGCCGACCCCGACACGGTCAGAGACGTTTACGAACGCGCCATCGCCAACGTCCCGCCAATCCAAGAGAAGAGACACTGGAGACGATACATCTACCTCTGGATCAACTACGCACTGTACGAGGAGCTCGAGGTCAAGGTACTACAAATACTACTACTACTACTACTACAAATACTACTACTACTACTACTACAAATACTACTACTACAACAACTACGCGCTCTACGAGGAGCTCGAGGTCAAGGTACTACTGCAAATACTACTACTACTACTACTATAAATGCTACTACTACAACTACGCCCTGTACGAGGAGCTCGAGGTCAAAGTACTACAAATACTACTACTACTACTATAAATACTACTACTACAACAACTACATGCAGTACGAGGAACCTCGACGGTTCGGTTCTAAAAGTTGATCTGAAATAATGTTTGTGTTTCTCCTTCAGGACCCGGACCGAACCCGGCAGGTTTACCAGGCCTGTCTCGACCTCATCCCACACAAGAAGGTGATTAAAGCTTCAACACGGAACTTTACTGAGGGAGCTGGTTTAGACCTGGTCTAGTCCTGGTTTAGTCCTGGTTTAGACCTGGTTTAGTCCTGATTGTGTGTTTTGTTTTTTTCAGTTCACTTTCGCCAAAATGTGGCTTCTCTTCGCTCAGTTCGAGATCCGACAGAAAAACCTCCAGGCGGCTCGAAAAGTCATGGTGAGAATGAGTCAGATGCCCTCCCACACACTCCTGATGCCCTCCCACACACTCCTGATGCCCCCACACACTCCTGATGCCCTCCACACACTCCTGATGCCCCTCCCAGCACACTCCACACCCCTCTGATGCCCTGCCCACACATGTCCTGATGCCCTCCACACACTCCTGATGCCCTCCCAGCACACTCCGTGATGCCCTCCCAGCACACACTCCTGATGCCCTCCCAGCACACTCCGTGATGCCCTCCCCACACTCTGCTGATGCCCTGCACTCCTGATGCCCTCGTGCACTCCGTGCTGATGCCCTCCCACACACACTCCGTGATGCCCTCAACACCTCTGACTCGTGCGTGATGCCCTGCCAAACTCCTGATGCGAGCGTGGCATGCACTCCTGATGCCCTCTGAGCACACTGTGGCATGCGCTCGTGCGTGATGCCCTGAGCTGAGCGTGGCATGTGTGCGTGTGATGCCCTCTGAGCGTGGCATGTGTGTGTGTGATGCCCTCTGAGCGTGGCATGTGTGCGCGTAGTGCCCTCTGAGCGTGGCATGTGCGTGCGTGATGCCCTCTGAGCGTGGCATGTGCGTGCGTGATGCCCTCTGAGCGTGGCATGTGCGTGCGTGATGCCCTCTGAGCGTGGCATGTGTGCGTGATGCCCTCTGAGCTGTGTGCATGTGAGCGTGGCGTGTGCCCTCTGAGCGTGGCATGTGCATGTGTGCGTGTAGTGCCCTCTGAGCGTGGCATGTGTGCGTAATGCCCTCTGAGCGTGGCATGTGTGCGTGTAGTGCCCTCTGAGCGTGGCATGTGTGCGTAATGCCCTCTGAGCGTGGCATGTGTGCGTAATGCCCTCTGAGCGTGTGCGTGTATGTGCGTGGCATGTGTGTAATGCCCTCTGAGCGTGGCATGTGCGTGCGTGTGTAATGCCCTCTGAGCGTGGCGTGTGCGTGCGTGATGCCCTCTGAGCGTGGCATGTGCGTGGTGTGTAATGCCCTCTGAGCGTGGCATGTGCGTGCGTGATGCCCTCTGAGCGTGGCATGTGTGCGTGTGATGCCCTCTGAGCGTGGCATGTGTGCGTGTGTAATGCCCTCTGAGCGTGGCATGTGTGTGTGTAGTGCCCTCTGAGCGTGGCATGTGCGTGTGTTTCAGGGCACGGCGATCGGTAAATGCCCGAAGAACAAACTTTTGAAGGGTTACATCGAGCTGGAGCTGCAGCTGCGGGAGTTCGATCGCTGCAGGAAACTCTACGAGAAATATCTGGAGTTCAGCCCCGAGAACTGCACCACCTGGATCAAGTTCGCCGAGCTCGAGACGATTCTGGGCGACACGGAGCGGGCGCGCGCCATCTACGAGCTCGCCACGGGGCAGCCACGACTCGACATGCCAGAGGTACTATTACTGCAAATACTATTACTACTACTACAGCCGCAACTCGACATGCCAGAGGTAATACAGCTGTAAATACTACTACTATAGTACTTCTGCTACTACTGTTAGTACTACTACATTTACTACTGTTAGTACTATTAATACTTCTATTACCACAGCACTGACTCGAGATACTACTGCAAATACTACTGCAAATACTACTACTGTCACTGCTACATCTCGGACTCAACATGCAAGAGGTGATACTACTGATACTACTGTACTACTACTACAAATGCTACTACTACTGCAACTACTGCTACTACTTCAGCCCAAACGTGTCAGAGGAAATACTTCTGATACTATCAGAACTTCTGTCAGTACTGTCAGTACTTTTGTTTCTGTACAAATGTGATTTTGTTGAAAATGAGCTCCTTCGTTTCACCCGACAGATTTCAGTTTGTGATGTTTTAAAGTCCAGACTCAGATCTGGAAAAAGTCCAGGTCCTGACTAGGATCTAAATGTGTTTTTTGTGCAGGTTTTGTGGAAGTCGTACATCGACTTTGAGATCGAGCAGGAGGAGTTTGAAAACACCAGAAACTTGTACAAGAGACTCCTGCAGAGAACCCAGCACGTCAAGGTAACAGGACCTGCTCCAGACCGGGTGTAGACCGGGTGTAGACCTGGTGTAGACCGGGTGTAGACCGGGTGTAGACCGGGTGTAGACCGGGGTTTGGACCGGGGTTTGGACCGGGGTTTAGACCGGGTGTAGACTGGGTTTAGACCGGGGTTTAGACCGGGGTTTAGACCGGGGTTTAGACCGGGTGTAGACTGGGTGTAGACCGGGTGTAGACCGGGGTTTAGACCGGGGTTTAGACCGGGGTTTAGACCGGGGTTTAGACCGGGGTTTAGACCGGGTTTAGACCGGGTTTAGACCGGGTTTAGACCGGGTTTAGACCGGGGTTTAGACCGGGGTTTAGACCGGGGTTTAGACCGGGGTTTAGATTGGGTGTAGACTGGGGTTTAGATCAGGTTTAGATCGGGTGTAGACTGGGGTTTAGACCTGGTTTAGTCCTAGTTTAGTGTGTGCTTTAATCCTAATTTAGGGTGAGGTTCGGCCCTGGTTTAGTCCTGGTTTAGTCTGGTTAGTCCTGGTTCAGTCCTGGTTCAGTCCTGGTTCAGTCCTGGTTCAGTCCTGGTCTTGTCCTGGTTTTGTCCTGGTCTTGTCCTGGTTCAGTCCTGGTTAGTCCTGGTTTAGGTTTAGTTTTAGTCCTGGTCAGTCCTGGTTTAGTCCTGGTTCAGTCCTGGTTTGTCCTGGTCTAGTCCTTTAGTCCTGGGTCCTTCAGTCCTGGTTAGTAGTGGTTTTCCTGGTTTAGTCCTGGGTCCTGGTTTAGTCCTGGTTTAGTCCTGGTCTGTCCTGTTCCTGGTTTAGTCCTGGTTCAGTCCTGGTTTAGTCCTGGTTTAGTCCTGTTCAGTCCTGGTTCCTGGTTTAGTCCTGGTTAGTCCTGGTTAGTCCTGGTGTCTGGTTGTCTGGTCCTGGTTTAGTCCTGGTTTAGTCCTGTCTGGTTGTCCTGGTTAGTCCTGTCAGTCCTGGTTTAGTCGGTCTGGTTTAGTCCTGGTCCTTTAGTCCTGGGTCTGTTAGTCCGTCCTGGTCCTGGTTTAGTCCTGGTTCGTTTAGTCCTGGTCCAGCTGGTCCTGGTCCTGGTTCAGTCTTGTAGTCTGGTCTTGTCCTGGTTTTGTCTGGTTTAGTCCTGGTTGGTCCTTCAGTCCTGGTTTAGTCCTGGTTTGGTCCTGGTTCAGTCCTGGTTTAGTCCTTTAGTCCTGGTTCAGTCTGGTCTGTCCTGGTTCAGTCCTGGTTAGTCCTGGTCCTGGGTCCTGGTTCAGTCCTGGTTGTCCTGGTTCAGTCCTGGTTCAGTCCTGTTTAGTCCTGTTTAGTCCTGGTTTAGTCCTGGTTTAGTCCTGGTTCAGTCCTGGTTAGTCCTGGTTTAGTCCTGGTTCAGTCCTGGTTTAGTCCTGGTCCTGGTTAGTCCTGGTTCAGTCCTGGTTAGTCCTGGTTTCAGTCCTGGTCAGTCCTGTCTAGTCCTGGTCAGTCCTTTAGTCCTGGTTTAGTCCTGGTTCAGTCCTGGTTTAGTCCTGGTTTAGTCCTGGTTAGTCCTGGTCCTGGTTCAGTCCTGGTTTAGTCCTGGTTCTGGTCCTGGTTTAGTCCTGGTTCAGTCCTGGTTTAGTCCTAGTCCTGGTTTAGTCCGGTCCTGGTTAGTCCTGGTCTGGTCCTGGTGGTCCTGGTTAGTCCTGGTTTAGTCCTGGTCTGGTCCTGTTCAGTCCTGGTCTGGTCCTGGTTCAGTCCTGGTGTAGTCCTGGTCTGGTCCTGGTCCGGTCCTGGTTCAGTCCTGGTCTGTTTGTCCAGGTGTGGCTGAGTTTGGCGCGGTTCGAGTTGTCCGTGGACCGGTCTGAGCGCGTGCAGAGGAGTCGTCAGGTTTACGAAGACGCCAACCGCAGCCTGAGAAACTGCGAGGAGAAGGAGGAGCGGCTCATGCTCCTCGAGGCCTGGAGGGACTTCGAAGACCAGTTTGGATCCGTCCAGAACCAGGAGCGGGTCCGAAAACTGCTCCCCGAGAAAGTGAAGAAGAGGAGGAAGGTGACGGCGGAGGACGGGGTGAGCGCTGCCCCCTGCTGCCCCCTGCTGCCCCACAAACCCAACTACACCTCCCTCTGCTCCTCTACTCCTCCTCTCTCTCTCTCTTCTCCTTCCAACCCTTTCCTCCTCCCTTTTTTCCATCCTTTCTTCCTCCCTCTCTTTTCCTCTCTCCTTCTCTCTCTCTCTCCTACCTCCTTTCTTTTCATTCTTCATTCCACCTTCTCTTCTCTACCCCCTTCGTTTCTTTTCTCCCTCCTCCTTTCCCTCTCTCCTTCTCTCACACTCTCCTCTTCCCCTCTTTCCTACTCCCATCCTTCCTCCCTCTCTCTCTTCCTCTCCTCTCCTTTTCCCTCCCTCACCTTTCCTTTCCTTTCACTCTTCTCCCTCCCTCTGTCTTTCTTCTTCTCCTTCCTCTCTCTCTCCCTCCCCTCTTTCTCCCTCTTTTCTCTCTCTCCTTCTCTCTCCATTCTTTTCTTCTTCTCCTCCTCCCTCCCTCTTTCCCTCCCTTTCCTTTCCTTTCTCTCTCTCTCCCGTTTTTCCTCCCTCTCTTCTCTGTTCTCTCTCTCCTTCTCTCGCCTTTCCTTTCTTCTTCTCCCTCCCTCCCTCCCTCCCTCTCTTCTCTATCCTCTCTCTCCCTCCATCCTTCTCCTTTCTCTCTCTCCTCCTCCCCTCTTTCCATCCTTCCTTCCTCCCTCTCTCTCCTTTCCTTTCCTTTCTCTCTCGCTCTCTTTCCCTCTCTCCTTCTCCCACTCTCTCCTCCCACCCTCTCCTCTCCTCCTCCTTTCTTTTCATCCTTCCTCCCTCCCTCCATTCTCTACCCCCCTCTTTGTTTTCTCCCTCCCTCCCTCCCTCTCCTGTTCCCTCTCCTCTCTCTCTCCTCCCCCTCTCTCTATCCTCTCTCTCCTTCTCCTCCCTCCCTCCTTCTTTCCCTCTCTTCTTGTCTCCCTCTCTTCTCTCCTACTCCCCTCTTTCTGTCCTCCCTCTCTTCTCCTTTCCTTTCTCTCTCTCACTTCTCCCTTCCTCTCCCTTTCTTCTTCTCCTCCCTCCCTCTCTCCCTCTCTTCTCTATCCTCCTCTCTCCTCTCCTTTCCTTTTTTTTCTCTCTTCTCCCTCTGTTTCTCTTCCCTGTCTCCTTCTCTTCTCTACCTCTATTTTCTCCTCTTCTCTCTCCTGCTTTTCTCTCTTCTTCTCTCCCTCTCTTCTTTTGTGGATCTAATGTTTGGAATCTGCTGCACTTTTCTAAACTCCGTCGTCCGTCTGAACCCAAGACGTTCCCAAAGTCATGATCGGGTCGTGTCGTTCGTCTGTCGCTCGTCTGTCGCTCGTCTGTCATTCGTTCTCGTTCGTCTGCTGCTCGTCTGTCATTTGTTCTCATTCGTCTGTCGCTCGTCTGTCGCTCATCTGTCGCTCATCTGTCATTCGTTCTCGTTCGTCTGTTGCTCGTCTGTCATTCGTTCTCACTTGTCTGTCGATCGTCTGTCGCTCGTCTGTCATTCGTTCTCGTTTGTCTGTCGTTCATCTCGTCTGTCTTCGTCATTCGTCGTGTCACGTTCGTTTCGTTCGTCTGCTGCTCGTCTGTCATTCGTTCTGTTCACTGTTGCTCGTCTGTCATTTTGTTTCTCATTCGTCTGTCGCTCGTCTCTGCTCATCTCGCTCGTCGTCTGTCATCATTCGTTCTCGTTCCTGTCGTCGTCTGTCTCGTTCGTCTGTTCGTCTCGTCTGTCGTCGTCATCGTTCTCGTTCGTCTGTTGCTCGTCTGTCATTCGTTCTCGTTCGTCTCTTCTGTCATCGTCTGTCGCTGTCTGTCGCTCGTCTGTCTCATGTTCTTCGCTCGTCTGCGTGTTCGTCTGTTCATTTGTTCTCGTCTGTTCTCGTCGTCTGTTCTGTCATTCGTCTGTCATGTCATTCTTCTCGTTCGTCTGTCGCTCGTCTGTCATTGTTCTCGTTCTCGTTTCGTCTCTCTGTCATTCGTTCTCGTCTTCTCGTTCTCGTCTGTCATTTGTTCTCGTTCGTCTGTCGCTCGTCTGTCGCTCGTCTGTCATTTGTTCTCGTTCTCGTTCGTCGTTCGTCTGTTGCTCGTCTGTCATTCGTTCTCATTCATCTGTCGCTCGTCTGTCATTTGTTCTCGTTCGTCTGTTGCTCGTCTGTCATTCGTTCTCGTTCGTCTGTCGTCTGTTCTCGTCGTCTTCGTCGTCGTTCTCGTCTGTCATTCGTTCTCATTCATCTGTCGCTCGTCTGTCATTTGTTCTCGTTCGTCTGTTGCTCGTCTGTCATTCGTTCTCGTTCGTCTGTCATTTGTTCTCGCTCGTCTGTCGCTCGTTCTCGTTCATCTGTCGCTCGTCTGTCGTTCGTCTGTCGCTCGTTCTCTCTCGTCTGTCATTCGTTGTCGCTCGTCTGGAGTTTTATTCCTGTGACTAAATCCGTGCCCGGTCTGTGTTCCGTGTGTCGTTTCAGTCGGAAGCCGGGTGGGAGGAATATTACGACTACATTTTCCCCGAAGACTCGGCGAACCAGCCCAACCTCAAACTGCTCGCCATGGCCAAGATGTGGAAGAAACAGCAGGCGGCGCCCGACGACGAGGAAACGACCGAGGAAACGACCGAGGAAACGACCGAGGAAACGACCGAGGAAAACTCGCCCGGAAAACCGACGGACGAACCGCGAGGATCACGCTCCGAGTCTTCAACGTCGTCCAGTTCTGAGGAAGACGAGGAGGAAGAGAGGGAGGAGACGGAGGAGACGGAGGCGAGGAAATCTGGAAGAGAAGAGGAGGAGGAGGAGGAGGAAAGACAGGAGAATGGAGAGAGCAGGAAAAGAGAACAGCAAAGGAGTGAGAGGGAAGAGGAAGAGGAAGAAGAGAGTCAAAGGAGGGAGAGAGGAGAGACTCGGAGGGGAAAGAGGGATGAGAGAGGGGAGGAAGAGGAAGAAGAGGGTAAAAGGAGGGAGAGAGGAGAGACTCGGAGAGGAAAGAGGAGGAGAGAGAGGAGGAGGAGAGAGGAGAAGAGAGTAAAAGGAGGGAGAGAGG